CCCTTCGCGCGCTCGCCCATGCAAACACGGCGGACTGCGCGACTCCTCGCGCCCATCGGTTGGGCTCGCGTCGCCCCGCGCCGCTGCGCGTCGCGCGGCGCCCCCTCCGTTTCGCCCATGCATGGAGGCTGGGGTGGGGGCGCCCCGAGGGCCCGCAAAAGGTCCAACAAGATAGCGATGGGCGTCGACGGTGACAGTGTCGGAACCGGAGACAAACGAGAGCGGGGCCCGAGACAAAACCATCGTCGGGGGGCTCCGCGGGCGTGTGCGCGCGATGCGGAAGAAGATCCAAGTCTTGCCGAACATGGCGAAGTCCACGCATTCCGGGGTGGATGTGCATTACGGGCTCGACCGCAGGAAAACTTCGACAACAAACCCAGCCATGAGACCCCAGGACGTCCATTGATTTTGGTGTGGGAACGTCACGCTGTCCATCGCAAAATCATCGAAAACCTAGAAGCCCAGGGCACCCTGGAAGCGAGCAGGGTCGTTTTTGGCATGGGTTTCCGGTGTATCCGTCGGCTGTGGGACAGGAAGGCATGGACTGGGCGATCGCCGCGTGCTTCTCCCCCGAGCAGAAGGTGATGCCACAGCTTGAAAAACTTCGCCGCCGCTGACGCCCCCAGGAAGGAAGGAAACGGTGCGAACAGCAGCGTCGAAGTCGGTGCTTCCTCCGAGGCTCGTCGAAGAAACTGCGACGAGCTCCGGTGCAGCGCCGCCCGTGGCGACGGGCGCCCTGGCCATTCGTTGCCGGCCTTCGGTCAGGCATGTCCCCCTACAGGCGGACTCTGGAGGAACAAAACAACGACACTCCAAACGCAGTCAAAAATGGTCAAACCTAGTCGGGCAATCGTCCCCGTACTATTCTTGTTTGACAGTTTCTATACCTGCGGTAGCATTTTGCTCTTCTCCGGTACTTCGCCACCGGGCTCCTGCCGAAGGCGCCCCTTTGCAAAAACTTCGGCCTCGGCACCGCCTTTATCCGAGGCTATGCCTCCCCTCGGCCTCGCTCTGAGGCTCCGCCGCTTCCCCCCCCTCTTCTCTGCCTAATTCAAGCTCCGCGCGGCCCGCCTAGCTTCGACCGGAAGGGGTGCGCTCTCGAGCCGCGGATCAAAAATTGTTTGACAATTTCTGAATACGCCCCTTGTGGAGGGACAGGCCCGACTGTCTGCTGCCCTCTCAGGTCCTGGAGGTCTCCGCAGGATCCGACAGCCGGCGGCGGCGGTCGACCGTGGGCGCGCGGCGCCAAGAGCATCGAGGGCCCGCGGCCACTGCTCGAGGAACTCGTGCCCGTGCGCGCCCGGCAACGCGTGGATGGCTGCTGCGGTGGGGGCACTGGACAAGGAACCCGCAGGTAAGGGTTCCAGGGTCTGGCGGCCAGTGGAACTCCAACTGAGGCTTGGCCATGGATATATATATATATATATATATATATATATATATCGCCGCCGCCCTCGTCATAGGAGGAATCCTCCAAGGTCTGCAGCATCCTGGGCGCATTCCTTGGCCAACGCCCCCACCGTAACGCCTCCCCCTCCCAGTTCTGGCCACTGCGGAGGGCGATCGGGGCGGCGCTGCCGCCTGTGCACGCGGACGTCGGGCAGGCCAGCCTCGCAGTGAGCTGCCGCAGCCGAGATCAGCGCGTCCGCCTGGTGTGCCAGGGTCCGGTCCGCCTCGGCCCAAACGCTGTCTTCCCCCAGGCTTAGGAGATGGCGCGCTCCGTAGGTTCAGGGCCGTGTAGTGGTCCGAAGCCCAGCTGCGCCCAAGGATCCTGGTCATCCAGTCGGTAGGCGAGCTTGCCCCAAATCGCCTCGAAAACCTGCCAAGTCCTCGCGAACGCCACCGCGGTCTGGTTCTGCTACGAAAACACTGCGCTGGCCTGAACGGGATCGAATCGCTGGAAAGCCTTCGCCTCGATGAGGTCCCAGAAGTCCTGCACGGAGAGCCGGAACTGGGAGAGGTTCGGAGCTGCCGCGGGTACGGCGGCAGCTGTGGCGGCCGTACCAGGCGAGATAGCAGCCTGCAGTCCCACTGTCGCCGCGAGCCCCGCAGGGAGCGGCAACTCTGGGGCGGGCGGCACAATCAGCTGGTCGACCACGGTAAGTTCGGCAGCAGCCTGCGTCAGCCCAGACTCGTTCTCCTCGCCCGAACATACTCGCGCCAATGCCAGGACCTGCGGCGGTGGACGCTGCCGCGGCAGCTTCGTCCTGGCAGTACGTCGTCATGGGAGGAGGGCGAGGGAGGACCGGGATGTGAGGTGAGCGTCCTGGGGAGGGCCCCGTGGCATGGGTACGATGTATAATCTGTGCGGTCCCTTGACCGCCCCTTGACCGCCACCGTGGCGATCGTGAGTGACTTTTGCTCCTGGCTCCGGCGCCGTCTTTGTTCTCGGCTCTGTCGCAATGTTTTCTGTTTTTCGTTTCCGGTTCCAATCCCCGAACTGCTTTTTCCCCCTCTCTGGGAGCACCTGTTGTTGCTCATTCGTTGATGTTACCATCATCGTGTTCCAGAGACCCACGAAAAGGTTTTTCTGGCAACATGAAATAAGCGGCCCTACCGTTTCTGAGGCCCACTAAGGAACACGGTGCTCAGCTCTTTATCCAGGGTTCCTTATAGCCATCGCTGTTCAAGGTTCCTTAAGCCGTTCAGCTGTCCAATCGAGGGCGCAATCGCGAGGCATCATCGCCGCGCGCGACGCCGAGCATTCTGTCTGTGAGGGGTGATATTCGTACTTTGCACAGGTAGTCGCCTCTGTTGTTTCACAGGCAATCGGGCGTGCGGCTCTTCGAGTCGCCGGGCCGGACCTGCCTCTGCCATCATAGCCAAGCTTTGACTCCAAACCAACCGAAGCATCCTTGCGCCCTCGCGCCCCTCTCGCGCAGGAGGGCTGCTCCCAGGCACGGCCCGCGGCGCGCGCACCGCGATCGGCTTCGCGCCCCCACGGCTGACCAGGGTGGACACGTGGCCAAACACTGGATGCGCAACACCTCGCAGTGCGGATGAGAGCGAGTGGGTCGCGGGTGGGTCGCGGGCCGGGTCGCGGGGGGGACGACGACAACAACCAACAAACAACAACACCAACAACACCACCACCACCAACAGCGACAACATCAACAATAATTTCAAGACTGTTCGCTCTTATCTGCTCGCGGGCCATTCAACGTGTGTTTTCCAACCCTCGATACCCGCCCATTTCGTCTTCGATTGTACTCCCTTGGGCGTATCTATCTTTCTCACCTGCAACGTCTATTTCGTGCAGCCCCTAATTAAGTAAGGCAGGGGAAGAGGGGACGGATGGAAGTAAGGGGCCAAGGGAAGGGAGGAGGAAGGAGCACGGGATTAGCAGGAGGGGGGCTAGGAGCAGAAAGCTAGTAGTGGCACAACCAGACGGGCGGGTAGACCCCAACGGGCGGGTCGGGAAGGCGGGCTCAAGCGGCCAGGTCGAGCAGGCGGCTTTTAAGCGTGATTGCTGCATGGATCGCGAGGAAGTCTCAAGCAATAGCGCGATTCCCAAATAAATCGTGAGGACATCCACGGCGAGAGCGTGATTCCTGAGTGTCGAGGGCGCGGTGCCTGAATAAATGGCGAGGGCGTCCCACGCGAGAGCACGATTATGTATAAATTATGAGAACGTCCCGCGCGAGAACGCACTACGGGCACACAATGTGAGGAACAGGCGGGAGCCGCTGTTATTGTAAACCAGGGGCCAAAGACAAATTCTGAGGCCCAGTACCTTCCCGGATAAAAAACAGGGTGCGAGCACCAGGAAGGGCACTTCACTTGAAAAAGCACAATGTGCCCGGGAGGGGGGGGGATCAACAATCATTATTATCAAATAGTGAGAATTCAACAGCAACACCACAAACAAAAACAACAACAATAACAGCAACAATAATCCGCACCGCAGAACCTCACTTCAGCCAGGCGCCCAGGGACAGAGAATGCCCGTTCGGCCCCCTCACCCCGACGCTACGCTGCATACTGCGAACGCAACATGCAGAATGCGTCGTACGCGCCCTCATCACCGCGGTGCGAAAGCACTGGGCGGCAGAATCACTCGGCGAGCGAAATGGTCAGGGCAGACAGCCACATGTGATCCCTGATCTTGCAAGTCAGGTTTTTGAAACACACGCTGGGAGGTCAGAATCTGAACTATGTCTGCAACCAAATGAGACCCCGCTGGGGTGTTCGGGACGCGGACTGGGCACTGCGGACTCGAGCCGCGCTGACGTCGACGTCGGGCTCTGACACCGCAAGGATCATCCGATCATCCAATCTGGAAGGATTGCGGTTTTCCCACAGTGGGGAAAACAGCATGTACCGATACCGCTACTCCCCGGACCCCTCTCGGGGTGCGTTCTGACAGGGATTCCGAAGCGACTCCAGCGGTGGCGACAAGAGCCTCCCAGGAGGCCCAGAAAGGAGGAAACGGGCGAAGGGTAGAAGTATCGGTACCTCTTCCTCCTCCGGGGCGAACGCCCGCGCCAGGGCCGCCGCACAGCCGGAGCGGAGCGAAAGCCTGGCGCACCGTGAGGCAAAACGCCTGGGCAAGAACGCCTGCGGCTGGTGCCGTCTGCCGCGCCCTCCTGGCAGTCGGGTAGGGGAACGGACGGCTACAGTCGGCCCGTGTCCTAAGAAAGCGCGATGAGGATGCAAGGGCCTTGGCAGGCCACTTCGAAGCTTTTCGAGCGGGGCGCGGCCAGCGAAAGTGGCCAAGGATGGACCGAGGCGGGCAAGATGCAAGGGTACCCTTGGGAAGGTTGCCCATCCTTACTATGCGGGTTGACTGCAGGGGATCGGCTGCATAATTGATCTTTACTCCAGAATTGAATTTTCTCGTCGAGTCCATAAAACATGTGCAGTAAGTTTGTAGACCTACTAACCTCCTGCGCACTTATGGCAAAGGATCTGCGTGAAAATCAAGTTTTGGGCAAGCCAATTCTGTGGTCGATACCCTGCTCGCGGAGGGTCACGCGCAACCCGCTCCCTCCCTGGCGCGCCTCCTCGTCGCCGCCAGCAGCCAGGGCCGGCGTCTTGTCGACCTCCGCGCCCTCCCCCGACGGCGATGCGGCGAGATCCTTCGACCCCATCTGCTCCGACCCCACCTTGGAAACCCAACTTCCCTTCTGGGCTCGCACTCCTTGAGCAGGGACCGACCGTCCCGGCATTCCTATAGTCATACCACGAGATGTTCTTAGAACCCCAACATGTTCTAAGAACCAAAACAATGTTCTCAGAACATACACCCGATGTGTCAAAACAAGACAGACCCCGCCAGAACTGCTCTGAGAACATCTCGTGGGAACCACACAAAGGTTCTTAGAACACTGCTTGGTGGGGCTCGCTTGGCGAGCCAGGACGCTTCGCCACTGCTTGACCCTGGGCTCGCACTCCTGGCCTTCCGCCGGCCTCCCGGCCGCCTCCCGCGCCGAAACAAAAAAGCGAAGCCCCTGCCTGGCGCGACCCCCTCGCGGAGCGCGGCCCCGCGGCCACCTCCGGAGAGGCCCCATATTCGCGGCTTCGCGGAGGAGGCCCCGACGTGCTGCCGCCCCACCCGGCGGCCCGTGCCGGCCCCCCTTGGCGCCCGCCGGACCCGCCCCCTCTGGCGATCCGCCGCCCAGCGCCCCGCGAGGGCCAGCCCGCTCCCGCACCCCCCACGCGATGCGCCCCGCGCTCTTCCAGTGCCGGCCCACTCCCGCACCCCCCACGCGATGCGCCCCGCGCGGGCGACGGGATCTGTATACGTCTCCACTGCTCCCAGGCCAGGCCCAGCCTCGGCCCAGCAGCAGCGTATGCGCCGCGCCCTCCCGGCTCGGGCAGGAGGGCGCGCACAGCAGCTCCTGGGTTCAGGATGGGCCTGGCCAGGGAGCAGTGGAGAGGTATAGATTTATGTCGGGCGTGTCCCCCTACAGGGGGATTTTCGACGACAAATTTAAAATACCCCCCAAAATGCCCCCAAAGGGTAAAAAAAAATACCCCCAAAATAGTCCCCAGACTATTTTTGGGGGACTTTTTCCTATTTTGGGGGTATAGTTTATTGTTCGTCGAAAATCCCCCTGGGGCCACGAACCGTGTGAAGGCTGCCCCCAAATGGGGCGGCGCTGCCATGTGGACCCTACCGTTCGGGCCTTCGGTGGAGCTCCCTATGGGGCCACGAACCGTGTGAAGGGTGCGCCCAAATGGGGCGGCCCTGCCATGTGGACCCTACCGTTTGGGCCTTCCGTGGGGCTCCCTATGGGGGACAGGCCCGACTTAAGTATAGATCTCGTCGCCCGATCTCCTTCGAAGGACTCGTAGCATGCTCTTCTCCTCCGAGGCGGAGGCTCCCACCGGGCCCACGGGACCGCGGGTCGAGTGCCGCCCGAGATCACCAGGACAGCACGCGGGCAAGGCCCGCAAATTTTTGCGTGCACCGCCGCTCGCCGTGCCGGCCGAGCCCTCCTCGCCGTCCTCCTCGCCGTCCTCCGATTCGTCCTCGTGCTGGTCGTGATCTTCGTCCTCGTCCTACTCGTCCTCGTCGTTGATGCCGTCGTCGTCACTTCCACGCCTCCTGCGCCTTCCACTGCAGCTCATCCCCCGTCGTCCTTTCAATCGTCCTCCTCTTCCTGCTCCGCCTCCCCTCTCCCTCAACCATTCCTCCTCCTGCTCCTCCTCCTCGTCCCCCCGCCTCCCTCCCTCCCCTCCCTAGTCCCTCCTTCCTTTCTACTCTCTCTCTCCGCTCCATTCTGCTCCCCTCGCACCTAACCCACATCCTCCGACGCAACCGCCGAGGCGGACACAATGACATTGATTTCACACATCTTAAAACCGGTGCCGCTGGCGGGAACCAGATCCCCTGACCCCCGGACACCCTCTTGAGGAGGAGTTCCGCCCTACCCCCCTCTGGGCAAACGCGTCCTGGACGCCCGCCGAGAGCTGAACCCATGTCGGGCCTTTTTGTTGGACCTTGCACAGGTTCAAACCCTTACGGGACAACGTGCAAAACTGTCACTGAATTATCTCACACAGACTCGGACTACCTTGAAACTTCTTTAGGTCGGAGCCCCTTATCAATCCTGGCCAACATCATTAGACAATCTTTCTTGAGTCTCGGCGCACAAGGTACGGCAAGCTTGACAGATCTCTCAACTCCCTGGGCTGCACACGCACGGCAAAACCACATCCTTCGGTTGTTATCCAAACGGTGGGACGAGCGGACCTGGTGTGGTCTCCCTGGGCATTTAGTGCTTCCGAACTTTGCCAGCCCCGCTCTAGTGCCAATGCCCAGGCAGACCAGACATTTCCAGCTCTTACCCATCTTGGAAATCACGTGGGAGGAAACTCACCTCCTCCTCCATGGCTGAAGGGGCCCACAAACACACACACATAAATGCACACAAATAAAAATATGCCCCATATTTTTTCCATATTTTCTGGGTTTTTGTCTTCCCCCCCACTTCCCATATTTTCCCATATTTTCCTGGGGATCGACGATTAATTGTGTCTGTGTGTTTCTTCTCCTCCTGAATGGCCTCCTGGCTTCTCCCACAGCCCAGGCAACCTTATCCTCGTGCGCTTGCCCCTTTACCTTGGTAATGGCCTCGCGGAGGAGAGCCGTCGAGGGGTGGGGGGGGGGAACGTGGAGGGTGGCAAGGGAGGGCAGCAGGGACCTGCGAGGAGGGAATCTGAGGAAGCGAGGAGGAAGGGAGGGAAGGAGAGGAAGGACCTGCGAGGAGGGCATGGGAGAGGAGGGGTAGCGATGGGATGGGCGGAGGGATCGGTGCTGCACGCCCGCGCCGTGACGACTCGTGCGCTGGCCACCCGTTACTGCGTGGCTCGCTCAGTCTTGACCGACCGAGGCTGCCTGACAACAGGGATCGCTCCAGCTCGGCCTGGCCCAGACCGCCGATGGCCTTCGACCTGGAGCGCCCGCGCCGGAGTCGCCGCCGTCGGCGCGACGCGAGCCTGCCTCCGCGGGCCCTAAGGGGGTCTCGACCCCTTCCCTGGGGACAGATGGCGTCCTGGATCCCTGCTTGACTGCTCAGCGATCGAAGGCGCCCAGAGGTCCAGGTCCGCCACCGTGCTCCCGGGCACGTGGAGGCGTGGTAGACTGCACAGTGTTGTCTCGTAGGGTTTCTGTGATCTCCTAAGGGCCCACCCTCTCATCACGAAGTGCTGTGCTCAACCCCCCGCCACGGCGGCTCCTCGGCACCCAGACGCCTCCCTTGGGGCTCACCCAAGACTCTCCAAGGCTGCCGCGACAGCCCAAGATGGCCTAACATTGCATTGCTTCAAGGCAAACCCAATAATCCCCCTACGAAGCATCCGAATAGATCCCAATCTGTCTCGAATAGGCGCCAATACGCCCCCATTGCACTCTGCAGGAGGCCCTCGAAAAGCACAACACATGGATTGTCCTATGGTTGTTCCATGCGTGCCACTTTACACGCTCTTCGTTCAAAGATCGGTCAACTTGCGTGCTTCGAGGGTCCAAACAAAAAATGCTGCCTGAGAGCTCCAAGGTCCAAAACGCCGTCTGGAGGAACCCAAGAAGGCCGAAGAGATTTCCTAAACGGCCCCGAGAGACCCTCCAGGCAGCTAAGAAGGCCCCAAGACGGCCCAGGAGTGAGCCAATACCGTCCAAGAGGTCATGGTTGGACCTCCATCGGCGTATGAATGAATGAATACCCGAATATCTAACATACATCCAATGGGCCTCTGACCCACAGCCTAGGCACGGTGGGCGGAATGGGCCGAAGGCCACTAGACAATCAAATTATCCTGAATGGCATTGCTCGCTGTGTTTTTCCTGAATTATCCCCAACGTGCGCTCCAGAGGTTGCCGTCATCGTGCTAGCAACCTCCTAGATACCCCCCAAACCGCCCTCGAGGCACCCGAGATGGCTCGAAGATGGCGCCACAGGCCCCGAGCTGGCCTCCAGGTAAGACTAAGACGGCCCCACGACGGCCGAAGACCGCCTCCAAGACCTCCCAAAACGTCCCCGATGCCCATGTGAGGCCCCCAGGGTGCCCCTGACACCCCCAAATGCCCTCGAAGGTTCCCAAGATGCCCCAGAGAGGCCCCGAAGACGTCTCCGAGAACCACTCCAAAGGCAACGTGACAACCTTGCGCCGGCACAGGCGTGCCAAGAGTCAAGATATAGCGTTGCTACGCAGCTATATAGCGGTGGTGACTATACGCGGCAGCGCAAGAGAAACGGCATTGCACACACACACACACATCAAGCAACAATGACTGCCAGTGGAATAACAAGAGACTGGCATCACATACAAAACTAGATGTGCCAACGCAACATATCGACACATCGCTAAACAACTGCATGCTCATCGGAATAATATTGGAACGTCCAATACTTGATGCCATGGTGCAATTCTAGCACGTCCCATCGCACCCACACAACACCGTAATACATACCGTTGTCATGCGCTACACCGTACTACGACTTGCGTTTCGCACTCTCACACGCAAGTCGCGAAGCGCGAATGCAACGAATTGTTTATTTAAAGAGATGGCCTTCTTGACCAATGTCTTCTTACTCTTTGCGCCCTTCCCAACTTTCTTTTTCTTCTTTGTCTGTCTTCCAGCGATGGCCTGGCTTGCGCACTTGTCGGACCCTGCTGACCCCGCAGGACAGCAAATATGTAAACGGGGCGGGGACGGCCATGACGAAAGATGAAGACATGTTGCGGCATGTGCTCGTATCCAACATCCAGAGCGTGTCCCTCCCCTAACTTCTTCTCTTACTCTGGTGCGTCCATGGGACCGTCACGCAACGCCAGCTCGCCGACTGTCTCTGGCACCGCTGCGCGCTGCGGCACTAACTCTCCATGCGCGTGCCCGCTTTACTACAACACTTTTCCAATTCAAGTTGACATGTTCGATATTTTTGTCCGATGCGGGCTTAGGCAACCACATATGAACCTTACCCTGCGGGCCAAGTTTCTGAAACACTGGCGGGGGGGCGGGCTTTTAATGGTATCTGGAACCATGCGACCCCCTCCTTGGGTGTCCGATACACTTGCGGCGATTTGACCCGCAACCGAAGAAGCCACCGGTTCATCTGGGTGGCTAGGTCCTGCGGTGTACTGGTGAGGGGGAACGATCAGGGGGCACCGGCTCAAGGAAGGGAACATCCATTTGGAATCGTCGATGCATCGCCGATAGATCCGCGATGGGCACTCGCTAGCGAATCCGCACGTTCCTGCATCGACCTGGAATCGGCGATAGATCGCCGACAGGCATCCCATAGCGAATCCGAACCTTCCTGGGCGGGGTGGGCTTTCGGGCCCCTATCGGCGATAAATGGGTGTATAACCATTCTCAATATGACTGTACAATTCATTATGCACAACAGTTTCGCTGTGGCCACAAGTGCGTTTGACCTTGGAGGCAGCTCGTCCGACGCATTATCGTGTGCATGTCCACACACTCTCTCTTGTATTTTCGCAGCGACGCGCCTCATGCATCTCCGATCTTGCCAGCGATTCACAGAAAGTGCCACCATTTCGAGCCCTCGTCTTCGGTCCATGTTGGAAGCACTGCGTCGATATCCTGCTGTAGGGCAAACTGCGCCCCAGTCAGCAGCTCCCAACACAACACCAGAGGCGAGCAAGGCAACAAAGACCCACTCAAGCAATGCCACCAGATTGATCCAGGTCATTCCATGCCATCCAACATTGCTAGTATTGGAGGCCTGGAAATGGGCACCAACACCAACACAGGGGGTTGCCTCCACAGGGGGAAGATGATCCTAGATTTCGGTGTTGGTGGTAATATGTGGGCCACCTTGGAAGCCAGAATTATTACCACCATCACCGAGATCGGGATCTTCTTCCCTCGGTTGAGGCACACCGCCGATATTGGTGTTGGTGTCAACCTCTAGGCCTGCGATAGTACAGTACCTGCCGAAATTGGCGTTTGCTAATTTCCGGCGTGCGGCGAAGGCCGAGCGTCGTGATAACACCGCGGGGCCGCTGAGGTAGGCACCGACAAGACAGAGATCCGCAGAGACGAGAGCGCAGATGCTTGCGACCGCCACGGGCAGCTGCAATCGCCGCCTGCGGCAACATGAACTCCGAACTAGAACCACGCGCGCGCGCGCTTCGCGCGCGCTGAGGTTCCAGTCGATTCCGAAGACGGCGTCTATCTCCATGAGACCTTCTCCGTGTGGTCTTCTGGGTTCCTCCATTTCACCCATGCGTGATTTTCGGGCGGATACGGCGAAGTTCAAGGAAGGGTTTGGCCTGTAGCATACCAGCGACGACCGACGACGACGACGACGACGACAACGGACCATCGACGATCAGCATCATTGTCACCTGGTCCACGTGTGCGGGAGAGGCGTTTCCGGAGCGTCTTGCAGGCGTCATGGGGGCGTCATTGGGTGGGCGGGTCGGGGGGTGCAGCCAGGGCCACGTGTTCCGAAGGGCTGTTCCGGAGCATGGAGGACGAAGGGCTTCTGGCGGGCTTCTCAGGGCCTGTGTAGGAGACCTCCTGCGAGCTCGGTGGGGGTTTCTCGGGAGCTTCTCGGGTCTTTCTGGAGGAGGAGGAGGAGGAGGAGGAGGAGGAGGAGGAGGAGGAGGAGGAGGAGGAGAAGGAGGAGGAGGAGCAGGAGGAGGAGGAGGAGGAGGAGGAGGAGGAGGAGGCGTCGTGAAGGCCTCCTGGGAGTCTCTCGGGGCCTCCTGGGTGCCCTCCTGGGGCAGAGGGCGCCTCTGTTCGGGCATCTGGAGGGCTCTCTGGCGCCTCCTGGGAAAATCTTGGGCCGGCCACCCCCTTGGAGCCCTCAAGGCCCCCCCGGCCCCTCCTGCGAACCAGAGGTCTCAGTTCTGGGCCCATCCCGCCTCCGTGTCTGGGTTGTGGGTTGGAGGCTCCTCGGGTGTTCGCTGGGATGATGTCGTGGGATGCCTCTCGGGGGGCCTGTTGGAAGCAGGTTTGAGGCCTCCACGGGGGCGTCGTGGAGCTTGTCGGACCTCTCTTAGGCATCTTTGGGGCCTCTTTGGAGCCTCTTAGAGCCACTTAGGGGCCTCTTGGGGCCTCCTGGGGGCCTCTGGGGGCGGGAAGCTCGAAAGGTCGGTTCGCGTTCCCTCTCCTGGGCCCATCTTCGAGCCGTCTTGAGGCCCTCTTCAGGCCCTCTTGGGCCGTCTTGGGGGTCTCTTGGGCCGATCATGCGGACATCTTGGGCCGTCTTGGGGGCCTCTTGGGGGCCTCTTGGGGCGAGTTTGGAGGCTTCTTGGGCAGTTTTGGAGTGTCGACCGCTCGAAAACATGAGAAAGCAACAAATATTGGAAAACAGCATAACAATCAATGATTTTGGCATCTTGGGGCTCTCTTGGAGGTGCTCGCGGAGCGACCTTGGGGCTTCTTGGGGGCCTCTTGGGCCGATCATGGGGCCATCTTGGGCGGCTTGGAGCGCTCTTGGGCTGTCTTGGCGGCTTCTTGCCGTCTCCAGAAGCCTAGGTGGACGCCTCGGGGAAGCGGACAAAAATTCCGCGACTCCGAAAACGGGTCCCTGGATGCCAAAAAAGGCCCCCGCAGCCCAGGGGGCAAATTCGGTTACGGGGGGGGGAGGTTTGGAAAAAAGTGCGACCCCTGGCCGCGGGGCCCCGGACGCCGCTTGTATTATATATATATATATATATGTATATGTACATATATATATATATATATATATATACATATAAATATATATATATATATATATATATATATATATATAGTGTGTGTGTGTGTGACGTGCATACTTGCCGCATGACGCGCTTGCAAAACGCTGGGCCAGCACCCAACTACCAACCGCCCAAACGAGGCCGCCGCCAAAGATAATGTCAGCACAGACTAGATGAACATGAAGACGCTTGTCCCACAGGAAGAAACTCAATGCTCCTACTCCTAAAACAGTCGCAGCACCAGCAACACCGATCATGCTGTTGACATTCTGCCAATGTCTGTGCACCAGAAGAACGGAAAAAAAGGACTGACGGGCAACTACGATGTGTGGGGGAACGCAGAACATGACAACTCAACATGCAAGGAAACCCAGGGTAAACACCGCCGTCTTCATGCTTCCGTGAAGGCATCCACGCGATAACCACAATCCGTAGCAAACCCCAAACGTAGCAGCCACGGTCCCAACAGCCAACCACAGGAACATAATGGCTGTACTCTGTGACGGCTCGGATAGCCAACGCATGGCGTGTAGAGGAACCTTTGCTAATGTTGCCTCTAGGTCGCTCGGAGAGTATTGATTCAGACTGTACGCGGTGTGGCGTACAACAAAACCTTCGCCAACGACTCCAAATCATACGAATTTACTGGAGCCCGTGAGACTGCGAACTTGAGCCAAAATGGCCACGGACGGCGATGAATGGGTGATTGCGGGGTCTGTGCGTTCCCCCCTGAGCCTGCCCCCCCTTTGACACTGCCCCTGAGAGGAACGGTGGCGAAAAGGCAGGGGGACGACAATGACGATGGGCCTGTGGAGGAGGACCACGTGGATGGCAGAGAGCGGCAACAACAAGGTCAGCAAGAGGAAGAGGAGGGCGAGGACAACGAGGAGCACAAGGATTTTGACGCCCGAAATGGGTACGGAAAAAAGGGTACACTGTCCAACAACAAATGTTGTCCCAAGCCAACAGCGGCCGCTGTTGGGCAGGCGGCCTTCTGTCTCGAATAGACACAGGCCGCGGCGGCGCGGACAGCGAGTCCTGTTCAAAATTACCAGGAACTGCTGTTGGGCATTGTACCCGTTCTTTCCGTATCCATGTCGGTCGTCCCGAAAGGAGGGAGGCAGGAGGAAGAGCAGTGTGTGGACGGGTGCGCGGAGGCTGTGGCAGAGGCCGGGGAGGGGAAGCCGGGGTGGAGGAGGGGGGGGAGGAGGAGGAGGATGAGGATGAGGGGGAGGGGGAGGAGGAGGGGGAGGGAGGGGGAGGGGGGAGGGGGAGGGGAGGAGGAGAGAGGAGGAGGAGGGAGGAGGAGGAGGAGGAGGAGAGGAGGAGGAGGGAGGAGGAGGAGGAGGCCGGATAGATAGAAGAGCGCGCCGAGTTCGGGTGACGGACGGAGCAGAGCGATGGAAAAGGAGAGAAGCACAACTCTCAATCAGCAGAGACCGACGACGAGGGCTTACGACCCAGGGATACAAGAGACCCCATCACGGCCAGCACCTGGCCGACGGCGCAGAAATCACAAGTAATTGCTGCCAGAAGGGCCTAGATAAGCCCGAGCCACGCACAAGCATCATCTGAGAATTTGAGAGGAGCAGGGGTGGCTATACGGAGACGCGGCGCCCGCGGATGCAGGAGCTTGTCAAAGATGCGGTCTCGCTTATATCTACGGGAGGGGGTCCGCTCCAAAAGCTCGGGGCGACAAACCCCAAACAGCTGAGACTGACTCCCCCCCTCGCAGGACGAGCCACACCTACGGCATGCAGCCAAATTGCCCGACATAAAGATTTCGTGGCCCCTCATACGAGACATGGGGACACGGTCAGAGAGCTCCAGAGACCCACCACTCCCAGGACCCGCGGGCGACGGGGGGGCCTTGGGGCCGAGGGTGCACGGCCTCTTCGCGGGAGGCCCAACCTCCTGAGACAGCACACCGTCGTGGGTGAGACGCTCCACCGTCTCGTCGAGCGACGGAGGCGAGTCGAGGTCGAATCGAACACGCGGGCGGACCGAACGAGAGGGGGGCACGGTCCCGTCCAGGGCCGTTTCGCCCCCCTCCCCCTCCTCCTCCTCCCTCGGGCGAATTGGCGGACGCCTGTCGTCCGAGTCACACAGCCTGATGTGCACGCATCGCAAGGGGAGATCGGACTCAGGCTCGCTCTCACGGGATCTCTTGCACCCGCCCCCCCCCCCCCCGCCCCCGCCCCGACTCCCCGACGGCGACGACGGCGGCGGCAGCGCGGTGGCGCCAGCAGGCACGGGGCGTGCCTGCGCGCGCACGGTGCCGCACATCGTGCGGATCAATCTGCGCCTGCCTCTCTCAGAGCGTGCCGAGGCTAGACAGAGCGAGCACCTCCAGTGACCTCTGATCTCCACGGGCCGATGGCAAATGGCAGGAGGAGGGGGGGGGAGGACGGTGACGGAGGCGAGGAGGCTTCAGATGCCTACGCCTCAGCGGCGTCTCGGTGCGGTCAGTGGCGACCGCTCCGAGCGCCAAGGCCTCCTGGGACTGAGCAACCCAGCGCGAGATCTGTCGGAGGGGGAGGGAAGCAGCATGCCCATTCTCAATATTTTCAGACAGCGCATGAGTTTCCATTCCTTTGCGAGCAGCCTGGTCAGCAAAATCATTGCCAACCCTCTCAACTGACCAATCCGACTGATGAGATTTCACCCACGAGAAAGACAGCACGCCCTCCTGCAGGCCACCGTGATCATCTATCGCGCGCCAGATCTGGCGCAAAATATCAAGGTTCTGCCGCGAAACATCCAGGCACCACTCTCGGCCACGGAGGTTAATGCCCTCAATGGCAGGCAAATGATCGGATTTAATGTCAAGAGGGGCCCTGCCAACCTGAAGCACTTTCAAAATCGCAAACAACTCGGCCCGAGGGACGCTTTGCTCGCGTCCAGGCAGATGGCCAAACGCCTGGCCTTTTAGCGAGGCCCCACCCATGACAGCAAAACCCCAGCCCGCACGGGCCGACTCGGGCCAAAAAGGGAGGACGCGGCCTGATCCATCCGTAAAAACAGTGCCAGTGACATCTAGTGGGCCTAAGGCCCTAATCTCATACCCCCAGCTTTCAGACATACAAGGGGGTCGCAGCTCAGGAAGCCAAGCCCTAGGAAAGAGGCGTCGTTGGAAGAAGGGGCATTGCGTCGGGGCGTGACGGGCCCGCTCCAAGTGAGGGGCCTCTAAGGCCTCGACGCGTGCCTCTTCGCCCTGAGGGCAACGATAAAATCGGTGGTGCAGACAACCTGGCACCGCACCACAGGCCTGACATTCCTGAAACAAAGAGTAGCCATGCTGCCACAGGCGTTGCTGCGACCACTGGCCACCAATCATGGTGGAGCGTAGGGCTGCCATGGCCAACGGCGACAGTTTCCACTTAGCACGCTCCTTGGCATCTGCAAAAAGGGCACGGATCGGCTCGACCCAGTAGCCGTCGGGGGCTCTGGGGACGCGGCGGGCAGGATCCTCAGGCGCCTGCTCCTCCCG